TGGGCGGACTGGGAAAAAAAATTCAGGCTGGGAAATCTCACACTCATAATGCTTAGGAGCCCAAGCTTTAAAAATTGTTTTTGTTCATTTATTTAAAATTTTTCTGGTTTAATCACGATCAGATTTTTTCTAGATCCTGCATTAAATTTATATTTTGACCTCACTATTCGGGGAACAGACACAGTCTTTATAGATTATACAGCGCAAGTACTTCTATCATTTAAGCGGGTAGAACACAAGTCATCAGGGCAGTTATTTGAGATTTGACTTACTAGTCATATGGAGCGTAGCGTCCTGGAGATGTTGTCCGACATGAGTTAATATGAAAAGAAAATGCCACCAAAATTCTGGCAGAAATGTGAATTTACAGGTATGATTTAAACACCATAAATCACACAAAATATTAATTATTCATCATCAGTATATCGAAAGAGCACGGCATGTTGGCATAAATGCGGGCTATTTGGTGATTGCTAACTGCGTTTTTATTTTGAAACATGCCGTGCTCGCGTTAAATTAATTAAATCATAGCTTAAAGTAGATCACATTTTGATCACATTTAACGTTAAGCAATAGGACGATTCCTATTTTTCCATCCCCGGATTTAAAATTGAAACTTTGAAGCATCCACAAGTTACTGAACTCTCACTTTATGATGTTACAGAACGTTGTCCGGTCCAGTTCCTTTCACACTTTCAGTGTTGTGTTTCTGTTTGTGTTTCAGCATCTGCTTGCTGACATAAAGACACTCTCGTGCTGTGGTTATATTTACTAGCGAATGCATTGTACATTCCGCTTACAGTATATCGAAGGAACACGTGGAACATACCAACTATACAAATTGTGTGGGGGGAACCTAAACTGAGCCATTCACTCTATAGGCTACTACAACCAGGGCGTCGCTGAAAATGAGTGTGTGAGTTTGTTTATAGAACACTGTTGTCAGTGCTGCAAAGTCCCATATAAATAATTATTCAAAAAATATAATTTCCCTGCAGCCAGTGGGCCTCCTTCCTAGTGTAGGCCCCTGGGCTTCAGCCCCCTGAAGCCCGTGCATTAATGCGCCCCTGATTACATTAAATACTATGGTAGGTATCTCTGCAACATTGATAGATTGATAAACACACGGTGTACAGAATGTATGTTTATGCTGAAATATAACTGAATAATGGTGTTATGTGTCATGATGTGTACATTTCTAGGTTTCCTGCTTCAGAATCACTATTAAGGGAACATTTTGTATTTAAACAAGTACATTGTACCTAAAATTTCTCTCTTTCTTTCTTTTTTTAACTATACGTACACCTGTAATATAAAGTGGGACCTTGTTTTGTAATATAGTACTAAAACTACTGTTTAAGACACAAGACATTTGTGTGATACAAAATATAAAATATATGATATGACTTATCAGAGTTTCAACCCTTAAACATAAGTGTTTTTCTATGGCTTATGGCTATAATTATTATCATTTATCATCGATCAGTTTGTGGCTTTAAACTTAAAAAAGTGACTCAAATAATGTCAATAATTCTTGAAAGATTATGAAGATATAATGAAAATAAATCTCATCAATTGTAATTTTTTTGACATTTTATACATTTTCAGGTATTTTTTTTTTTACTCAAACTTAACAGGTCCACATTTTTTAAATGAGAAAAACTTTGTTTTGCATTTCAATACTGACACAAGAATGTACTCTATGAACTCATACACTCGTGTTTTTTTTTTTTTTATCACATTTGCATTTTAATCTAATTTATACCTGTATGAAATAGCTTCTTCACCTAAACATTACAGTTTGTCAGACAAAATATCTCTCTAGTAGTTTCCTAATATTTTCAGCACATAATTGGACCACATACATTATGTTTTTCAACAATACATTACACAGAATTTATGTCAACTCTTTTATTATTTTTATATCATGTAGATTTCTATGCATTTAAATCAATTATAAAATCAAAAATTCAAAAAGAGTGGCAGAAGAAGTGAGACATAGCTAAAACAGGAAGGTTTTATTATTAAATTAATTCGTCAGTTAAAGAAGTATACAATTTTGGAAGATGTAGGAAAGATGAGTTGATTTTAAATAGATTACAATTTGGGCACACGGGACTAAATGCATCACTATACAAAATAGGTCAAGTCAAGTCACCTTTATTTATATAGCGCTTTTAACAATACAG